AACTCTACACTTGACAACATGAAAGAATAACTCTACACCTGACAGCATGAAAGAATAACTCTACACTTGACAACATGAAAGAATAACTCTACACCTGACAGCATGAAAGAATAACTCTACACCTGACAACATGAAAGAATAACTCTACACCTGACAGCATGAAAGAATAACTCTACACTTGACAACATGAAAGAATAACTCTACACCTGACAGCATGAAAGAATAGCTCTACACTTGACAACATGAAAGAATAACTCTACACCTGACAGCATGAAAGAATAACTCTACACCTGACAGCATGAAAGAATAACTCTACACCTGACAGCATGAAAGAATAACTCTACACCTGACAGCATGAAAGAATAACTCTACACTTGACAACATGAAAGAATAACTCTACACTTGACAACATGAAAGAATAACTCTACACCTGACAGCATGAAAGAATAACTCTACACCTGACAGCATGAAAGAATAACTCTACACTTCACAACATGAAAGAAGAACTCTACACTTGACAACATGAAAGAATAACTCTACACCTGACAGCATGAAAGAATAACTCTACACTTGACAACATGAAAGAATAACTCTACACTTGACAACATGAAAGAAGAACTCTACACTTGACAGCATGAAAGAATAACTCTACACTTCACAACATGAAAGAAGAACTCTACACCTGACAGCATGAAAGAATAACTCTACACTTCACAACATGAAAGAATAACTCTACACTTGACAGCATGAAAGAATAACTCTACACCTGACAGCATGAAAGAATAACTCTACACTTCACAACATGAAAGAATAACTCTACACTTGACAGCATGAAAGAATAACTCTACACCTGACAGCATGAAAGAATAACTCTACACTTCACAACATGAAAGAAGAACTCTACACTTCACAACATGAAAGAATAACTCTACACCTGACAGCATGACAGAATAACTCTACACTTGACAACATGAAAGAATAACTCTACACCTGACAGCATGAAAGAATAACTCTACACTTGACAACATGAAAGAATAACTCTACACTTGACAACATGAAAGAATAACTCTACACTTGACAACATGAAAGAATAACTCTACACTTGACAACATGAAAGAAGAACTCTACACTTCACAACATGAAAGAAGAACTCTACACTTCACAACATGAAAGAAACCAACGGAATTGTTTGACTGGATGATGTCGTCAGAGGAGAGGTGCCGGAGAAGACGGTGACGACTGAGATAAATCAACCATGGAAGACAGGAGGCACAACACTGCTGACCTGATCCGGCGATCTAACACTGCGGCATGGAACAATATTATTATCAGCACTGACTAGGTGCGCTGCCGCTTATAAATCTTTGCTGGGTGGCAGTGAACAGCCGCTTGTGAATGTGGAAGGTCGTAGCTAGAGAAGCTTAGCTTTGTTTTAATGAACAGTGATGGTGATGATAATAACAACATTAATAATTAACCCAGCCATGCGAGATCGAGTGAATAAGGATATTGTCAGACAGACTGTGAAAACTTTGTACGGGATTCATCAAGAAACTGCAGATCAAGTGGTTCGGCCATCTCATTAGAATGCAGCACAACATTGAATACCATCAGAGGAACTTCATCTTAAATGGTCAGCTACAAGAGCAAGAGGACGGCCACAAAAACATGGATCGACAATATTAAAGCACTCTACTCCTTCACGACATGACACTGGTTAGTGCCAGCCAGAGCGCATTGGATCGCAAGTTATTCCTCCCTATGGCTCTCAGCAGCAGAGGTGGCTTTCTGCTGTTATTATTATTATGGTTATATTGTGCTGAAAAACAAATAATAACACAAAAGTTGACATAACATGAAAAGTATAAAGTAATGCTGAAAAGAAGACCGCCAATACCTGGTTGGAAAAAAAGGGGGGGGGGGGGATTTAGGTCCCTTGCATATGTACTAGGTGTAGAGTGTCAAGGCTCCCTAAGAATTATGTGGTGGGGTGGGGGGAGGGGTCAAGGTTCCCGATCCCCATGTTACAGTGCCTATGGTACAGGGGTGGCGTCAGAGGTTGGTGTGCTTATAGGACAGCCAGTATAATAGTAGTGAATATGTCTTCACTTACATAACCGAGGCATGACCCTTAGATGCTCCATGATCCTGGTGTGGAGTTCAATAAGAGAAAAAAGAGCTGTACGGAAGCGGTGTTGGTTAGGACCCGGTTACTATCCATGGGAACGTGATAGGGGTGAGAGGTGACTTGTAAAGCTCTCCCGGCCTTTGTTTCGGATAGGGGTACCCACAACTTCTCAGGTAAACTGCCACTTCTTGTGTTGTTCTGTATATAAAAGATTGATATAGAAGATTGTTGTGTGCTCTGTAGGTGTTCGAGTTTAGTGTGTTTATCTTTATAGGTTTATCTGTCAAGGGCCTACAACATGAGCCACGTGCCGTTGCGGCAGACATAAGGTCTTTGACAGGTAGACTCAGATCTGTGGACAGATATCAACGGCTATGTCCTACTGACGGACAGGTAGACTCAGATCTGTAGACAGATATTAACGGCTATATCCTACTGACGGACAGGTTGACTCAGACATGTGGACAGACATAAACGGCTATGTCCTACTGACGGACAGGTAAACTCAGACATGTGGACTGATATCAACGGCTATATCCTACTGACAGATAGATAGACTCAGATCTGTAGACAGACATCAACCGTTATGTCCTACTGACATATAAATAGACTCAGATCTGTAGACAGACATGAACGGCTATGTCCTACTGACAGATAGATAGACTCAGATCTGTAAGACATGAACCGCTATATCCTACTGACAGATAAATAGACTCAGATCTGTAGACAGACACCAACGGCTATATCCTTCTGACAGACATGTGGAAAGATCTGTAGACAGACGTCAACGGCATGTCCTAATGACGGCCATGTGATACAAATCATGAGTATTGTATCTTTGCCAATGCTTACTACTACCGGATCTCAGTTCGTTTCAGATGAGGACTATTGCAATAGCGGCATCCTAATGTGTGTGTGTGCGTGTGTGTGTGTGCGCGCGCGCGCGTGTGTGTGTGTGTGTGTGTGTGGGGGGGGAATAGTACAAGGCGATAGGGGTAAAAACTACTAGAGCGATCATGCACGGTTGTTAGTGTACGCATGTATGTGTGTGTGCACAGATGCATATGAGTATGTACGAATGTGTCTGTGTGCGTGTCTGTGCATCCACGCATGTCTATGTGTGTCAGTAACTATAATACAGATGCGCAACAATGTGCCAATAATGACATTATCAAATACATGTGTGTGTGTGTGTGCATGTGTAAAGGTGTGTGTGTAACAAAACAAAAAGTAAAGGACCCCGTTCCACGCCCTTAGGCGTATAGGGCATATAGGGCTAGACTTATATCTTTATAGACCAATCGGCACAAGATGGGTGATGTGGTCAGCATCACTCCGGCCGCCTTTACTTCCCGGGACTGCACCCGGTACCCACTCAAGACTGGGTCGACCTGGGAGCCAAGGTCATTTTTGAAAAAGTCCGACTCCGCCAGGGAGAAAACCCACGACCTTCCGATCCGCGGCGAGCGTCTAGCCGCTCGGCCACGGCGACTCCCTGTGTGTGTCTATGTGTGTGTGTATGTGTGTGTATGTGTGTATATGTATGTGTACATGTGTGTGTGTGTCTATGTAAGTGTATATGTGAGTGTGTATGACTCACTGCAGCAACACGTGTACACCAGCTGTGTGTCGAAGGTTAGACCTGTGCTGTGTTGTGCTGCTGACAGTTTACGGGGCCGTGTGTTCTGCAGTCATCTGCCGAAGATGGCATTCACTGTGTGATCTTTGACTGTCTACGGCTTTCATGCATCGACAGCAAAACAGCAGATAACAACTATTCCTGAAAATGTCACAATATTTGACAGTACACTTAGCCTTTTGGAGGCAATAGACGCTCAATTTTAAGTTAACATCATTACATATGCTCTGCACTGGGCGACCTAGGGTAAAATCTCTCGAATTCTATACCAGTAAGAACTTTATGAATGCACAGAACAACTAAACACAAGTTAAACAGACACAGAACAACTAAACACAAGTTACACAGACACAGAACAACTAAACACAAGTTAAACAGACACAGAATAACTAAATACGATATCTGACCAAAACTCTTCAGTCTTCGGTAATGTAGTTGTAAGTATTCAACTCTTCACGCGGGTGACCGGTGTTCAATTCCCCTCTGGGTGGTAATTATTTTTTTTCTCCTTAAAAGGGTGGTTGCCACGTGGTGTTGTGGTTTACAGCTAGACTGCGATATCTGCGCCTTTCAGCCAAAGACATCCGATTTCAGTAAAAGCCCAATTAGCCTTCCCGAGACGCTTCACTCGGTCAAAAACTATTCGGCGATGACAGAACATTATTTTCAAGTTCTCATTTCTTAACTATATCTATTTTAATCATTTCACCAGGGATGATTTTTCAATCCTTCGGAGAGGAGATATGACTGGGTCGAGGGGAGAGGAGAGGAGGGGGGTTTGACAGACACTGTTAGTTGAGAGCTATTTTCTTTCTTTTACATTTTACCATTCTAGGCCACAGCAACGCGTGGCCGGGTACACACGAGTCATGAATAAAGAATTAATTTGAAAGAAAGCTGCACTGTGCTGTTATCTCTTTAGCATGAACAACAAGCAGCAGTCAGAGTAGCTGGTGGAATATCAGGCAGGTTTGAAGTGCAGAAAGGACTGAGAACTGAGGACACTGGACTGATATTTGAACACACTGCAGAACCGAATAGATTGCGTTTCTGTGTGGAACCCACCTGGTTAAGACATAGCCAGTAGATGAGAATTCTGAAGCAGAAAAGAACTTAGACACAATCATGGCAGTACAGGTAGTTTTGTAAGACTAAACAAACGATGGAAATGGAAGAGGGACTTGGAGACCGTTGTTCCCCGGGAAACATAACATAAACACACTGTCTACTTACATGTGGTCGCTTCCACTCGAACGGACGAGGAGGTGCACTGCTGAAGAAGATGGACGAATCTTCAGCTTCAAACTCCGGATCCTCAAAATTGACGCCTTCTTCCAGGCATTTGGCCTTGATCTCGTCATATTTCTGATAAGCCAGTCCGGCAAACGGATTCTTTCGCAACACCCTGGGCACAAGGCTGCGGCCAGGGATCGGGTTTTGGCCGAAGAAGATGTTCTGCAGCTTATCGCCGCCGCCGCCATCGACGGGTGGCCTAGCCACCTTGCGGTGGGCTCCTCCTCGTTTGGAGTCTTCAAATTCCTTCTTGTATTTGTTGAACTCATCTTTCATCTGCCCAAACTTTTTAAAAATGTTATTCATTTTTGTGTGTTAATGTCAAAAACAGTGCTGAAACAATGGACAGTCTATCCAACGAGAATCTGATAAATAGATCAAAGGTTTCAAGATTGGAGCAAGTTCAGCTGGGGTCACTTCCGGTTGAATGAGTGCTTCCTGCTGATTGGATCAACCAATCACAGGCTGTCTGTCTCTCGTGGTTTGCTGTTGGAAAAAGAAAAGAATACAAATGTTACAAGTTTCTTTAGCAAAAGACACATATATCCTTACTGATTCCAGTCATCGCACAGACGCAGAGATCCTTACTGATTCCAGTCATCGCACAGACGCAGAGATCTTTACTGATTCCAGTCATCGCACAGACGCAGAGATCCTTACTGATTCCAGTCATCGCACAGACGCAGAGATCCTTACTGATTCCAGTCATCGCACAGACGCAGAGATCTTTACTGATTCCAGTCATCGCACAGACGCAGAGATTTTTACTGATTCCAGTCATCGCAGACTCAGAGATCTTTACTGATTCCCGTCACAGCACAGACACAGAGATCTTTACTGATTCCAGTCACAGCACAGACACAGAGATCTTTAATGATTCTCGTTCCAGCACAGACACAGAGATCTTTACTGATTCTCGTTCCAGCACAGACACAGAGATCTTTACTGATTCCCGCCACCGCACAGACACAGAGATCTTTAATGATTCTCGTTCCAGCACAGACACAGAGATCTTTACTGATTCTCGTTCCAGCACAGACACAGAGATCCTTACTGATTCCCGCCACCGCACAGACACAGAGATCTTTACTGATTCTCGTTCCAGCACAGACACAGAGATCTTTACTGATTCACGTCACCGCACAGACACAGAGATCTTTACTGATTCCCGTCACCGCACAGACACAGAGATCTTTACTAATTGACGTCACCGCACAGACAGAGATCGTTACTGATTCCTGTCACCGCACAGTCACAGAAATCTTTACTGATTGCCGTCACCACACAGACACAGAGATCTTTACTGATTCCCGTCACCGCACAGACAAGGCTGAATTGTAATCAATTATGAAGACACGGACAAAGACACCAGACGTCACTAGTTTGCGCCAGGATGTATAACAGTATGAGTGACTTTCTACCCCACCAGGACATCACACAAGCGATAAAGACCCGATGACACAAAGCGCCACCATGTGGATGAGGATCACTGTGGAGAGGTCCCAGAAACCTAAAACGAAACTGGATATATATGTGTAATATAACAGTATATTAAAATAATAGAAACACACTCTCTACAATGTAAACTCCATCTAGGCTATTGTATATTCCCTGTGTGAGTTCCCCTTACATGGGGGTGGGGGGTGGGGGGTGGGTGGGTGGGGGGGGGGCGGGGACCTATTGCCTTAACAAGCATGGGGTCCGTTTCCACACCCTACCACTTCACCTCGCGCCGTGACTTAGGGACCAGTTCCCACACCTCACCACTCCCCCTCGCAACGTGACTTAGGGGTCGGCTCCAACACCCTATCACTCGACCTCGCGACGTAACTTAGGAGCCAGGTTCCACACCATATCACTCCCCCTCGCGCCGTGACTTAGGGGTCGGCTCCAACACCCTATCACTCCACCTCGCGACGTAACTTAGGAGCCAGGTTCCACACCATATCACTCCACGTCGCGCCGTGACTTAGGGGTCAGCCTCCACATCCTATCTTTAGTCAAAATGTGATTTGTCCAACTATCTTTACCCAAAGCATAATAATTATGATCCACAGACAGTGAAGACAGAAGACAATTTAATGTGTCTGTCACATAACATCAGGATGGCTATGGTTATCTAGAAGATATATTCCAGGGTACCAGCGACGATCCCACACAAACACAATATGACCTACTTGTGACAACGTATCTCACTGATAACTTGACTTATGCGCTCACAACGCTTTATTAGGATACATTTAAACCCTGACGAATGTCCGTGAATATTGTATAATATCAGTATAGAACAACCGTCTTAACAACTGAGTCCGTTAATCTACGACCTGCCAGTGGAGTGTTTCTGAATGCAGCATGTTACATTATGTTATAGGAATCCTCGCCACAGCCAATGGAGTGTTTCTGGATGCAGCAGCCACTCCAAGCTACGTCTACTGTTTGTTCTCAGAAAGAGCCAGTTATGTGGTCTCCTATTTCGGCCTTAAAGGCGGCATAGACGTACTTCACCATGCTTTACTCCTATGTCACACAATCGTGTTAGTGTAGAAGATTCGCCATTATTCACAAGCCTAGTACAAGGTCGCAGATTCTTGCTCTGTCCATGCTTCTCCCCGCAAGTGTTGGTCTCAGATATCTGCTCTGTCCATACTTCTCCCCGCAAGTGTTGGTCTCAGATATCTGCTCTGTCCATACTTCTCCCCGCAAGTGTTGGTCTCAGATATCTGCTCTGTCCATACTTCTCCCCGCAAGTGTTGGTCGCAGATATCTGCTCTGTCCATACTTCTCCCCGCAAGTGTTGGTCGCAGATATCTGCTCTGTCCATACTTCTCCCCGCAAGTGTTGGTCTCAGATATCTGCTCTGTCCATACTTCTCCCCGCAAGTGTTGGTCTCAGATATCTGCTCTGTCCATACTTCTCCCCGCAAGTGTTGGTCTCAGATATCTGCTCTGTCCATACTTCTCCCCGCAAGTGTTGGTCTCAGATATCTGCTCTGTCCATACTTCTCCCCGCAAGTGTTGGTCTCAGATATCTGCTCTGTCCATACTTCTCCCCGCAAGTGTTGGTCTCAGATATCTGCTCTGTCCATACTTCTCCCCGCAAGTGTTGGTCTCAGATATCTGCTCTGTCCATACTTCTCCCCGCAAGTGTTGGTCTCAGATATCTGCTCTGTCCATACTTCTCCCCGCAAGTGTTGGTCTCAGATATCTGCTCTGTCCATACTTCTCCCCGCAAGTGTTGGTCTCAGATATCTGCTCTGTCCATACTTCTCCCCGCAAGTGTTGGTCTCAGATATCTGCTCTGTCCATACTTCTCCCCGCAAGTGTTGGTCTCAGATATCTGCTCTGTCCATACTTCTCCCCGCAAGTGTTGGTCTCAGATATCTGCTCTCTCCATACTTCTCCCCGCAAGTGTTGGTCTCACATATCTGCTCTCTCCATACTTCTCCCCGCAAGCGTTGGTCACAGTGATTGCTATCATCCTGTTACTGTCTGACATCTGTCTTGCTTATGACATGTACAGACAGTCAAGACAGAAAACTATATAATGTGTCTGTCACATCACATCAGAATGGCTATGATTATCTAGAAGAATGTTCCAGGGTACCAGCGACGATCCCACACAATGTGACGTGTTTTCTTAACACAAACACAATATGACCTACTTGTGACAACCCATCTCACTGATAACTTGATTTATGCACTCACAACGCTTGCTTTATTAGGATACATTTAAACCCTGACGAATTTCCGTGAATATTGTATAATATCAGTATAGAACAACCGTCTTAACAACTGAGTCCATTAATCTACGACCTCTGCAACCTCTGCTGGAGTTTCCCACAACAGACTCTCCAGAATCTCATGTTAGCCATCATTTGGCAAATCCTCACTCTCTCTCTATCTGGTTCAGTTTTCTAGAAACTGCCATGTCACATCTCCGACCAAGACGGCCTCAGAAAGATTGTGTATCTGACTCTGGCTATTTTATCTGAGGCCTGTCTTTCTCCCACTACCACAGCGCTGCTCTAATTACTAAGCATAAGGTGGCCATCTGATTCCCTGGGTCTCTCTGCTCCTGGAGCACCCAAAGGGACCACCCGATCCCGCAGCTCCTACAGGGACCCCCCACGATCCCGTAGCTCCTACAGGGACCACTCGATCCCACAGCTCCTACAGGGACCACTCGATCCCGCAGCTCCTACAGGGACCACTCGATCCCACAGCTCCTTCAGGGACCACTCGATCCCACAGCTCCTACAGGGACCACCCGATCCCACAGCTCCTACAGGGACACCCGATCCTACAGCTCCTACAGGGACCACCCGATCCCGCAGGCGACATCCACTGTCTCTTCTCTGCTTCTTACCCTCTCTAATTTACTTAATTCTTTTTTCTGTCACTCTTATATAAGACGGAATTCGATTAAGTCCTTCTAATTGAATCCACCCGTTTCTAGATTAGCAAAGTGTCCTCACACTAGAATGACAGTTTTCGCACACAGGTGTCGAACACGTACCTTTGTTATTGTAGTTAGTTTATCACAATCTAGCGGTCGATACCAGTAATACGATCTCATTACCAATATAAACTGTTCAACATAAACAACTCTTGCCCGCCCATGAGTTGATTCCTGTATGCACTAGACAATTGCTGTTTGCACTAGATTTGCCCACCCATAAGTAGATTGTTGTATGCACTAGACAATTGCTGTATGCACTAGACAACCGTTGTATGCACTAGACAATTGCTGTATGCACTAGACAATTGCTGTATGTACTAGACAGTTACTGTATGCACTAGACAGTTACTGTATGCACTAGACAGTTACTGTATGCACTAGACAGTTACTGTATGCACTAGACAGTTACTGTATGCACTAGACAGTTACTGTATGCACTAGACAGTTACTGTATGCACTAGACAATTGCTGTATGTACTAGACAGTTACTGTATGCACTAGACAGTTACTGTATGTACTAGACAGTTACTGTATGCACTAGACAGTTACTGTATGCACTAGACAATTGCTGTATGTACTAGACAGTTACTGTATGCACTAGACAGTTACTGTATGCACTAGACAGTTACTGTATGCACTAGACAGTTACTGTATGTACTAGACAGTTACTGTATGCACTAGACAGTTACTGTATGCACTAGACAATTGCTGTACACAATAGACAGTTACTGTATGCACTAGACAGTTACTGTATGTACTAGACAGTTACTGTATGCACTAGACAGTTACTGTATGCACTAGAAAATTGCTGTATGTACTAGACAACCGTTGTATGTACTAGACAACCG